ATGAAGATAAATTGTCATACATCGGACAGACAAAGAGAAGCATCGGCACAAGGGTTAAGGAACATATTTCAGACGTAAGGAATAGGCGCGCGTCGAAGTCAGCAGTGTGCGAACATGCATTGGACAAACCAGGCCATTACATTAGATTTGATAAACCACAGATCCTCGCTCGTGAAGACAGATATATACCAAGGTTAATCCGCGAGGCTATTGAAATTAAAAAACACCAATTTCAATAGAGAAGATGGCTGGAACCTATCAAACGCCTGGGATTCTCTTCTTAAAAATATAAAATCCTATGTCCGTGACCACACCGCAGGACCTCGAGACACCGTGAGCGCATTTTGCCGGCATCCAGAGCAGTACGCAAGACAATTAAGAAATCGATGGCGGTAGGAGATAAAATGACCAGACCAACTGACAGACACTCACATCTCATCTGCCCGTGATCACGGTTGCTGAAAAGTAGCCGAAACGTCGGGAGTATGTAGTTTTCTAAAATATAACGCGAAGTAAAATCCGAAAAATATTAGTTTCATATAAAATGGTTATTTAAAATAATTATTTATTTTGTTTATCTATACTAATAATTTAAACCTCATTAAACATTGTAAATTAAATGTTTTCGTTGAATCATAATATATGAAAGTAACAATGATGTTACGAAAGTTAAATATGAAAAATCTTAAACATAAACATTGCTAAATATAGAATATAGAACAATCTAAGAGTTGAGGTAAAGGTCAAAAGGTTAAAGATATTTTTAGACAATTTTGAATGTAGAAAATAATGAATTTTAAAATGAAATTCTTAATTCATTCAACTAACAGAATTTAAATTGAGAAAGTCATTTGGAATTCATAATTAGTTACATTCATTTAACACTTATTCGACAAATGTTACTATATATAATTAATTAATTTAATAAATAGTAAATAAAGTTATAAAAAATAATAATGAGATATTTTTGTTTCGTAATTAATATTAATTAAATTGTAATTATTGAGTATATACATATATATATTGGAACAAATTGAGACATATTCTGAGACTCTTAATGAATCAAACAAGTAATTGCTGACATTCCAAATACTTTGATTACACGGATAATAGTTATTTGGGTCTACATCAATGTTCAGAAATATCTTGGTAGGAATGCTAAGGTACTCACAACACAACACTTGTAGACAGATGATGACATTTTAGTGATCTCATTGTCTTAATGGCATATGTTTGAGGAATACAAATATACACATACAATTATATATAATATTTATAATACTATTCAACAATCCAATATTAAGGGAAGACATGATTCTTGTGGTGGGACTACTAATATACATATATATGAAGATATGTATATTCTTGTGATATTTATAAACATAAAATTAATAGTTTTTCTACCTTTATAATATATAAAAGAACGTCGTGTTAGTTACACTATGTATTTATAATTCAAGAAAGGTACGGATTTGGCTGATAATTGGTGGAGAGATAGCTTAGAACAAGGGAAAGGACATAGGATACTTTTCATGTTATTGAAAAAAAAATAAGTTGATGAAATCCAAAATCTTCTTATCTACTGTCTTTAAGGAGAAACAGAGTTCGCCCTGTCAGCTATACATTTCTATTTCTAAGTCGCGGGCAAAAACTAATTGGCAAATAAAAAAAAAATTTCGATTTTAATATTCAAGACGTGAATTATTTCAATTTAACCTACTCTTTATAACAACTAGAATTATTACACGCATAGAATATATTAGTTTATGTATGTGTATTGTAACTTAGTGATAATCTTACTCAATAATAATAATTATATGAAGTACCAATCATAGCTTCATCACTCAATATATGTATAACTGATATTTCACCTTTGTCTATGTTTCACGACATTTCGTAAAAATAATTGATAAATCAGATATTTGTAACTGGAAACTACTTTAAACTGGTTTCAGTATTGGTAAATCAAAATTTGATCCAGTTCAATTAAAAGGTGGAATAAGAAAAAGGAAAAAATGTTATTCATGGCAAAATCATGACCTATGTGTTTGTTGTGGTGTTTTGGGACCTATGTATCATAAAATAATTGGGCCTTTATCGTTTCAAAGGCCAAGGTTTAACGACCTCTAAAATAATTGAGGCTTAAGTATATACAACTTAGTAAAGCGACATTTAATTTAATTGTTTAAGGCACTAGTTCGATTCCAAATACAGTACTTTTTTAATTTTTGTCAGAGAATAATATTGAATAAAACTGAAATTTTAAAACAATTGTTTTGAAAAAAGGCATGAAAGATTTTTATAGGCTAATAACTGTTAATTTTATGAAGCATTTCATTCTGTTACAAAAAAATATTATAAAGATATATGTACATACATTAGAGACAATAACATATATAAATAATGATGTGATCACAATAGTCTAGATACGAGCACATATATAAGTCTCGTGACAAAGAGATTTTTCCAGTATCATTTCACGTCAAATAAACCCACTTAAAATTTTCCGATTCAACTCAGCTAAATTAGCGGAAAAATATTTAAGTATTAAGAAAAGCACAAAAGAAATCTTTTGCCGAATGGATAGGTTTTATTCAGCAGATTTTAATTAAATATCTGCAGACGAATAAGTTAGCTCCTTGCATCAGTTCCAAGGTTTAAGGAGCCTCTAAATGTCAAAGTCTCGGTTACTTTCTTCGTTTGTTTTAAATAAATATTCATTAATTCAAACTTATTCTTTAAAAGTGTTAAATTTTGTAAACTAACATAAACAGAATTACTTTTCACTGTATAAAAGATATTAAGACATAAAATATGTCAGTAAAATTTCTGTTAAAAGATTAATGTAAACCAATTCGTTCCTATTAGTATTATTTTAAATAACACCAAGGATAGTTTCATTAGACGATTAGTCAATTTTTAAAGGGCCATAAGATGCTGTTATAATCTACGTAGAAACTCTCAATTATAAATGCAGTAAGTTATTATAAAATCCCTTTTTCTCTTAAAATATAAAATAATTTTGATAACGCTTAGAATAACCTATTGAGAATATGAATGGTGTAATTCAAAAGATAATAATTTTTATTATACATTACCATCATGAGGTTTCATCAGCGACGTCATAGTAAACGTTTAATTAAGTTCATCTGTTAAATTGTTTCCAGTGTTGGTTGACGGAGAGGATGTGACGACACACGAGTCTTTAAACAAACTGTCCGTTGAGGAGTGACCACATCGTGTAGAGTGATGACAATAATAACACACACTCATTGATAATGAAGGATCTGGTTTACATAGAAACAGAACTGAATAGATGTTACTTTAATGATTTCATTTGATTATGAGGTAATTTGTTTATTATATTTATCGATTTAAAACTAGCGAAAAAACATTCAATTCAAAATTATTAAATTCTGCATTAGGTAAAACATATGTCAAATATATTATAATGTGTAATGCACACGTATTTACTTTGCCAATTTGATATTATTTTGTTGAATATGATAAATAAATATTATTTTTGGAGTTGTTCCTAAATTTTAAAAATGTCAAAAACACAAAGTGTTAAAACCAAGAAAGTTTTGCATTATATATCTTTATCGTATGTTATAAAGATGTAAACCCGTTTGTGAGCCAACGTTAGAATTGGCTATTCAGAACTTGGGTAGGTCATCGAAGTTTCAGAAGTAGTTAGTGGACTTGAGTGGAGCCGATCACAAGTTTCAACATAACATTACTTCTTGTACACATTTCATATAATATTCATAAACAAACTTGTACGCGGCATTTCACAGAACACCTGAACGTATTACTAGATTCATATAAGAGGTTCATTATAAATGTTGGGATATTTGTTTCTTTGGGGTATTTCTTTTTGTTATAAAGAAAATAATTATAAAAGTGTAATCTATAAACATAACATCATATGCGTTTAAAAGAGCTTCAGGTACTGATAAAGTTATCAAAGAAAGCCTCAAGCACATAACCTGAATTTAAGAGCCTGGGCGAATAAACTTCAAATCCATTCTAGCTACGATTAGTCAAATAAAAAGACTGTTAAAATTATGTATCCACACAAACTTCCGAATTTATTTGTAATAGCACGGAAGCATCGTGATTGCGGACAAACGCTTTCAAACATCCACGTTGTATAAAACAAATTCGATTAAAAGAACCAACAATAGTAAGTTTTTATATTCTAAGTTACAGAATGGTTTTGTTACAGAGTTTCTATACTTATATAAACCACATATCTCATCTTATCTCAGTATAATATCCAACTATTCTGTTGCACATTGAACTTTTATGAGTAAAAGTTAATGTTTGTATCGTAAATAGTTAGCAATCCTCACCAACTACCTTTGATTTATCTTTTTCTTATAAATAGATCAACAATACTGAAAAGTAAAAACATTTGTCGAAGTTGTTATAACACTGCTTGAAAACATTCTCTTATTTTCGTGAGTGTTACAGCATGCAACCTTCTGCTTCTTTTAAATAAATTGTGAACTTATGTTTAAATATACAAACTTAAACATTAAAAATTACTAAAAGATATCATGAACATTCTTCCCATAAAAAATTATAAAATAGACACAAACTTTCTCTCAGACTAGACTGGCTTGTCATACGAATGTATAATACTTACCACAGCAATTCCATAGATCTAGACTAGCCTTTCTTCGCAACAACGAATTAGAATTAAAAAGCGGTTAAAATACATAAGCTAGGTAGTAAATCATAAATTTAAAAGTCATCAATTGTCAAGTGAATTAATAACCAAATTATTTACTTTCTCATAATATATCCTAAGCACGTATACCCTTAAATTGATTTTGTTCACTGTGAGAAACATATGAAAAAAAAAATGATTTCGTTATATTTTTACACCAAATTCGTATTTTTTGTAATATTATCATACCGTATATAATATTTTTTAATAGAAAAAAATAGTCTAAGCACCTAACAACGCTTTTACTTGTTATTGTCAAAGCAAAATGTCGGTGCCTCGCAGGTCGTCTATGTTCCGCAAGGTAAATATAAAGATTTTACTTGATTTTCTATTGTTTCAAGTATTTTAATGCTTTCACTAACTTATCTAGACTATTTGTTATATTTTGGTGTGTGAATTATGTGCCTTTATGTGAATCCTCAAGTTTTATGACCCGCCAAAAGCTTATGTTTATTGTGATGAACATTGCCAAATAACCTATAAAGTACCTACAATTTTATATGTTCATCACGGTAAACGATGCCAAATACCTAATGATAAATTAATCCAAAGTAGTTGTCTTTTTTTTAACATTTTGAAGTTATGGGTTTTATTTTGCTTATTTCGGTATTTTCTTCTGCCAACAGCATACTTTGCATGAACACACGGCAAAAATATTGGCGCTTGTGCCTATACAGCATGCTCCCTCAGATACCAGTGATAGGTCCGACATGGTCAATGAATTGGTAGATCTGCATACTCCAAGTTTAGCTTTATCATCATCACCATCTCTAGATTCATCTTTAGAGCAAATGCATATTTTAAGCAGTCCTGAACCTGATGCTGAAGATCATGACACTGGAGACGATCCGCCTGAATTTGATTTTAGAGAAACATCATTGCAATTGACTTCAGTTCTACGTTAAATTTGCCCAGCTACGCTGACTAGAGAACCGAACTACGAGAACATACCTTCCTTATCTTCTATACCATCTCTTCCGTCTGAAACCCCTTTATCAACTCCTGAAAGTACCAGGAAAACTTGAGCCCAAAGGCACATTACTCTAGTGCTGGCTTAAAAACGAAAGAAAGTTCCGAATTTCGTACTAACCTATAAATGGAAAAAAAGCGTCACCTTCCGTCACCAAGCTACAATTGAAGAAAACCAAGACCATAATATAATGAATGCCTCTTTACTGCCCACTGCAGATTCCCCTACAATATTAAAATTTTTTTTTCTTCAGGCATTGTGACCGATATTACCGTACAGTCAAATCTATACTCTGTTAAAAAAACTGGCAAACCTATTCAAGTGACAGAAGACGAAATGCGTGATTTTATAGCTATCCATATACTTATGAGTATTGTCTCAATGCCTAGTTACCTGGACTATTGGAGCAGTAGATTTCGGTATGCTCCGATAGCAGATCTAATGAGTTTAAAACTCTATCAACAGATTCGTAGATTTCTACACTTTGCTGATAATAGCTTAGAAGATACTGATAGATATTATAAAGTAAGACTAATTGCAGAAAAAATAAGAAAAAACTGTTTGCTGCAAGAAAATGAAAACAAATTTAGTATAGATGAGACGATGATTGCTTATAAAGGAAGAAAGGCAGGCAACAGAAAGCTCTATTATGTTATAAAAGATTTTGTTATGTCTTTGTTTTGTTTTTAATATAAATAAAAATATTTTGTAAACCGCCACTACCTGTTTGAATGTGTACCCTAATTTGATTACAGTCAAAACCGTTTATAATGACATTGAAGGGACCGTATATATCCGACGTTATATTCGATAGTCGTTATAAGCAATAGTCATATACACAACTACAGTAGTTATATATATTGTCATATGTAGTCACATATCTATCTAGTATAGATATAGGTTATGTAAACGATTCAGAAAAGAAATAAAAATATTTATTACGAAATAATTAGAATACAAAATGTATGTACTTGGCTGCTTACCGTTACGGGTTATAAAAAACTACACTAGTTTTTAAAGTAATCAGTCATTTTAGAATTATTTTTTTAGCACAGTCTCAAATATTTTTAGCATTTTACGTTCCATACTCAAGGTATGAGTATCATCAATATCAAAGGCAATTTTTTTTTGCAAAACTGTTACATCATTAAGAGCGTCGGACATTATTGTTGGCTGAAACTATTCTTCAAGGTCTTGTTGGTCTTCGTGTTGTTCGTTAGTGTTAGGGTTGTTACTTTTAGCTTCTGCAAGAATCTCTTCCTCAGTAGCTAAAGCGCTAACGCGACACTGTTATCTATTCCAATAAATTCCTCTATCTCAATTCTTTGTTCTAAAGCAGTAGATCTTTGCAACTGGGTAAGGACAAGGAGCGGTTGGTCGTTAAAGTCGATTAATATCGATAAATTTTCGTCGTTCTAAGCGATATGTCGCTGTATCCGATGTTGTTATAAGCGGTTTGTATACTGAATAGTTTACTAGCAATTCGGACGGGACCATACAATCTGGCTGTAATAACCGATAGGTCGTTGTAAACGATGTCGTTATAAACGGTTTTGACTGTATGTTCATCACAGTAAACATTACAATAAAGTGGTATTTCTCGACAGATTTGGCAATGTTCACTCATGAACATTGGTTTCCTGGAAACCTGAAGGTCGCAACATTTTTTTTATATTTTTTCTGGATTCCTTTCTACCCTAAACTTATAAATATACATAAACTTTACATATATATAACACATTGAACCTCTGCCAAATTAAGGGTTAATTAGACAAAGACATAATAACCAAACTGACAATAAAATATTCAGTGATAAATTAACCGTATAACCAATATACAAAATTACCAATTTGAAAGTCATAGATATAACAACTGTTGAAATTAAAACGACAAAATAATGAATGAAGAGATAGAAGAAAGAAGATATAAACAATTTAGTAGAACTTACGAGTAGAAGTGAAGCTTCGTAATGTTGCAATGAAAACAGGATGGGGTGGATATTCATTTTTAAAGAGTTTTTTTTATTTTAGTGTTTCTTTAAGACTTTTATAACCATTAATTAAAAGTCACAGATCATTGCCCACATGGTCTCAAAAACCACACATTCCCCGTTGCTCTGTCTCTTATCGAGGGAGTGTAAACAATTTAATGCAACCTTATTGGCAGTCGCATAAGAAAGTTGACTGGAAAAAATCATTTTTCAGTGGATTTATTATTAATTACTTTATAAAAAATTAACTTTAACTGATGGATTCTTGGGGTGAAGTGGACTATGAAATTCCACTATTAGAAATTATTTTGACATTTTAAAGATTCACTCCATTTTCGAGATGAGAAAAATGGTACTTAAAGAATATTTTTCAGTTACATGTTAATTTAACGAAAGCTATTTGTTAAGTAATTCATACATTAAGTAAAAATAATAAAAGAATAAAGAAGTTATTGTCCATAGTGGATAATTTTTGTCATATATATAAATATAGGCGTGAAAGAACAAGTAGGTACTGCCGACAAATAAAGTAACCTTATAACTACCTAGTGATAGATTAAAAAAATATTTGACACCAAACTCTAATATATTTTAGACAACCTTCGGGAGACAATGAAAAAACCTGAAAAAAAAACTGGCCCAAGTACCCGGAATCCTTTTAATTAAAGTATAGTACACAAAATCTCTAGAGAAAAGCACACAAAAAATATTCGAATCTCGGAAAGGTAGGAATTTTAAGTATCAAAAAATATTCATTATATTTTCTACGAGGTGATAAGAGTGTTATATTAAAATCATAAGATTAAGTGGCATGGCCGCCATGAAAATGGCCCGTGGCGCGGACCCCAACCCGCGCTAAACGGTAAAGGGAGTTACATGGTTGTGTTCCCCATGCAACTCCCGAGGTCACGTGCGTGGAAAAGAGCACCACATGAGGGGGGGGGGGCAGTACCAGTGCCCCCCAAAAGAAGAAGGGCCCCCAGAATGCGGGCCAGCCTGTCGGGGAAGCTGGTGGGAGTGCGAAAGCGATCCCCCGCCCCGACACAAGGGCCGTCGTGGAACACCCTTGGGTTTTTAGTGGGTAGTGGCAACGAGTCCCACATACCCCGCTGTTTTCTAAAAACGGCGGGGATGCGTAAATGCATTTTCCCAAGGATAACAAAAAAAAAAATAGATTAAGTGGCATTCAATAGAAAGATCAGAAACGGCAACAAATACATAATATATATGTACATACATGCGAAAATGTCTACTAACAAACAAGATTTGAGCTTCATCGTCACTACTAAGAATAGATATATGTGCATCAATACTACTTATAACTTAATCGCACTATGCTTATTTCGAGAACCTAAAAAATATCAGGATGTAAAAATCATAACCTAAGGTAAGTCAAAGAAAATACGGAATCTATTAAACAAATTTAAACGGCGAAAATATTACGTTTCGGGTTTATTTGGATTAAATTAACTGAAAAGAGTAAGAGTAATTCTAACAATGAAAATATTAATAACATTCAATACGCAGATGACATTGCTTCAAATAAACTAAGGTTTTCGGACACTACATGTGTCTTGTTATTTTACATCTAAAAACCAAAACACGCCTCATTGTCAAAGCAACCACCTTATCACCAGTAAATTTTCAAATAGAATAATTGTCGTGGTATTGAATTTATGCGCCATAAGATTAATTTACAAATAAAAAAGGCTTCAGCATTAATAATTATTTATCCATCTAATCATTATTTCGATACAACTCTAACTCCTTTCTACCACGTGTACATGGACAAATAAAATTGCACCCCATTTTGAATATGTTTCTTAGAATCTTCTGATGAAAGTACTATCAATAATAATAATTGTTTATATTAACTCTATTTCGAGGAGATCTCGATTAGATAACAATATAAAAATCAATTGACTTTGAAAGCTTTTCTTTATCTATAATTCATTTCGATTAAAAAACTGAGAATAATAGCTAAAAAAAAATATTGCAAATATAAGTATATTTAACTCCAATCGTTTGCTTTCAATTTCAAATTCAAGTTTTATATATTTTAATTATAGTATAAATTATCATTCGTAATATTAATAGCAGAATGAGTAATTAAATAAACATTTAAAAATAATTTATGTATTAAAAGTTAACACTAGCTTTATTAACTCAGTATTTTAATTTCGAAACCGACGGTTGTTAGTTGTGACACGACTCACCTGATGAAACTTTTAATTTACTTTCATGTACACAATATAACGGTCATATAAACAATGTTTATATTCATCATTTAATGTGTTTTATGTGACACAAAGTATCAACAAGTCTAGCAGAGATGTGCTTTATGATGTACGAAGGATTTTACAGTAACTCAAAGTTATATTTTTTAAAAGTTTCCTGGCAAACAAATCGTTAATTTCAAAATCCTAGCGCTAGCTGATTTGAATCTTTTATACTGACTACTGTATATATCGGCGCTACCAGCTTTGATAACGGATGCGACATGAAATTAATTTGAGGCTGTCATAAATTCTTATTAAACCTCATTAGTATTTATGATTATTGTTAAAAGTAAAACGAAATCAAAGGTTGCTTGACAGGAGAATAGTACTATGTTTAAATCTTGGTATAAAAATGACGTCTGGACGCACGACGGCACACTTCAGAATTGAGAATACACAGTTCAGTGAGTGCGTATCATTGAAGCTTGTTATTATGAAGAACTTTCGAGAAATACAGGAGCATTAAGAACAATTGAAGTTTCATTTTAAAATATCATGGACCGTTGTAGAAGAAGTGACATATGTGACGTCAGCGAGGCTGGCGTCCCTCTCATTTAAAAACAATGAATGTGTAATAAATCCGATATATATTTAAATTTCGATACTACTTACTATTATCAATATAGTCGTTGTTAATGGCGGTGTTTTTAATATTTAAAGTTTATA